CTCTGGTGGAGTTATCTCTCTTTCTCTTTCTCTCTCTGGTGGAGTTAGCATCAAGTATCTTTCTTAGATCACTCTCCACCTATATTTTATGACCCTGAAATTCATGAATGGGCTAACTGACCAGTATGCATCAGTGATCTATGATCCATCTGTCTGTAGCCCCCCAGTGCTGGGGCTGCAGAGTGTACCTCCACCCCAGCTTTTACATGACTTCTGGGGGATTCAACTCAGGCCGTCATGCATGGGCAGCAGACACTTCACCCACTAAGACATCTCCCCAGCCCCATCTCTTTGAAAATATCACTTCTATTTATATGTTAATTATGGTAAAAATCCACATGAAATTTGTATTTAATCATTTTTAAGAATACAAGTCAGTAGCATTGAGTCATAACCATCACCTCTGTCCATCTTCAAAATATTTCTATGTTCTAATTCCTTTCTCTACCTCCTTCTGGTCCCTGGTAACAACCATTCTACTCTCTCTCTTTCTCTCTCTCTCTTTCCCTCTCTCTCCCTCTCTCTCCCTCTCTCTCCAGCTTATTACCCTAGGTACCTCAAAGGAGTACCTCATATGCTCTTTGTCCCTTTGTGTCCACTTATTTATTTAAACCAAAAATGTTCTCACAGTTCATCCATATTGTAGCACGTGTCAACATTTCATCTGTCAGATGGGGTAAACATTCCATTGTTGGCCCTCGCTACATCTCATTGACTCATTCATCTGTTATACAATAAGTCACCAAGGCTGCCTGTGACTTTGGACTCTTGGTGACACTCTAGGTGTGAACATGAGAGTACAGGTATCTGCTGATCTCTCGCTCTCATGTTTTCTACATGTTTGCCAGGCAATGCTTGTGTTTGATTTTATGAAGACCCGCCCTACTATCTTCCACAGCTCTGGTTCCCCTGTCCACGGCCGTTCTCTTTTAATCTGTTCCATATTCTCACCACAGCCAACATGGAAGGCATTGTCACAATCATGGGCCTGAAGCCTGAGACAAGGTATGCGGTCCGACTGGCGGCCCTCAACGGCAAGGGCCTGGGCGAGATCAGTGCAGCCACTGAGTTCAAGACACAGCCAGTCCGTAAGTACAGCCAGCTCCTCTGTCTCTTCCCCACGCTCACCCTCTTCCTCCTTTTCCTCAGGGATAGACAGGGACCCTGAGTTGTCCCCATCCTAGCTCAGAAGATAACTTTTGTCTTTTGGGTCCCCGTGTTCATAGTGCCCCCACTAAACTCTGGTTCTCAGGGATGGATGGCTGATCTGCCTTCCTTTCATCCTGAAAATGGGTATAAGACACTGACCTCGTGGGTGGCCCAGTTTGTTAGAATAGCAGCCAAGGGCCACCGCTGATTAGCTGTGGTGAAGAGCTGAGGGAAACACGCAGGGCATCTGGAAGGAGTTGAGAGAGCTGCCATTTGAGCCAGGTCACAGAAGCCTTTATGACCGCCCTATAACTCAAAGGAAGATAATAGAGACCGTGACTGTTCTTGTCATTTGTCCTGGGACTTCTGATGCACTGGCAATATGAAGTCATAGAGAGAGAAAAGCATAGAAGAGTCATCTCTGTGAAGAGGAGCAGGTCCCCATCATCCCAAAGGGACCCTGGACTTACCTGATTCTTCCCTCCCAAGATGACTCCTCAGACCATCTGTGCCTCAAGGACTCTTTCAGGCGAGCTGCTCTCCCCAGGTTCCACTCAGGGCCGCCTCTAGCTTCTCTCTGTCATTCCCTCCATCCCCAAACCATGCTTGCTCAGCTTAGCCTTCCTTTCCTACAGCAGCCAGACCCGGCCTTACCCTGGCCGCATCCCTCTGCCGTCCACATTGCTGCCCCACCAGGCTCCCGAGTCACTCCAGCGGAAGAAGATGCTGTAGATAGAGCTGGTTTCCTGGGTGACCACGGAGCTCCAGGCTCTCCCTGAACCCCTGATTTAATCCACACACGAGAACCCTTTGCTTCCTTTCCTGGGAGGCCTGGGAGCATACAGACCACCTTAACTCTTCCCGTTCTCATCCTCCTTCCACAGGGAGTGTTTCTTTCTGTTTGAAGTAATTTGATAATTTAAGTTTCAGCTCCATGTGCCCTGTGGATTCCGTTCATTTCTTTTACATCTTATTTTTTTTCCCCTGGGTCTGTCTCTTGGCTTTTCTTTTCGTCTGTGTTCCATCCATGGGAAATGCAGATAGCCCTCCTCCACGTAAGTGCCTCTTCATACCTCATTACCTGTTTCCATAGTGTTAACATCTAGTTCTAGTTCATAATTTAGTTTGGGCCCCCTTTTTGTTCCCTAGAGGCTGAAGTAGATGATGCTGTCTGAGCCCTAACCACACTGACCTTAGTCTAGCTGTGCCTTTGTTAACATATATAGGTTACTCCGAGAGGCTAACACCACTGTTCTAGAGCATGCAACTTCCGTGTCTCTTGAAATTGTGCTTATTTATTAATTCTTGTGTGTAGTAATTGCTCTGCGGAAAAGATAAGGTTGGCTGAACAGAGCATGGTGGAAATCTGCAGACGGTCTCCGGGTAACGAGCTCATAGCAGCCCCTCGCTTTTAGCCCTGGTACCAGAGGAGTGACACCCTGCCTCACGAGGACACTGTCCCAAAGAACTGAAAAAAAAAAATCTTCCGGTTTGCTTTTAGGAAGTAAAGGGATGGAGCACGCATGCTTCGTGGCTTATCTGTTACGTGGTAGATGCGGACAAGCAGAGTCTACTGGTGTGGTGATATACAGAGAGGTGTCCGTGTACACTGTGTCCCGCAGGCAGCTGCCTATAGTAAGGGTAGGGAGGAGGCCAAGCTCTAGGTTCTTGTCAGCTCTCTTCAGCACTGGTTTACTTACAGTGTATATTTCCACACTGGGAACAGACTATCCAGTTAACTTAGTAACTACCCAGTAGAGCACAGAGAGGGAGAGAGTCCCCCATGGGGGTGACACCCTAATTATGTAAACTGACATTAGGGGACACCGAGAACAAGGGAAACAAGGGAGGTGGTGGCTGCTGCAGAGAGTAGAATTGGCCTGTCCCCTCAGCCGGCTGAGACACCCAACTCCCAATGTCACTTTGCCAAGGTTTGGCTCACTCTTCCTACTTTGAGCTCCTAGAGAACAGAGAAAGGAGGCACTTGACAGACCCGGAAGGAAAGATATTCAGGAAACTGTTCCCTGTTCACAGAAAGCAGCTAGGTCCTCCAAGGCACCCTGGGAAACTTATATTTATAAAACGTACTCTGAAATATTGCAGCAACAGCAGAAACTAAGTAGCTGAGTATGGATGCCATACAATCAGCCAAGTTGGTGTCTGAATATATCAGCTAGGAAAGGCGTCAGAATCGGGGCCTGTGGGAGTGAGGGATGCAGGTAGCGAGCAGTCGGGTAGGACTGACAGCTCTGCCCCAGGGGAACTATGGAGAGAAAACTCTTCCTTCTGGATCCTTCCAACAATCCTTAGCTGCATCCTCCAGGCCCTTTTCTACAGGAAGTGATCACTAAGCAAGAACCAGCTTTGCTAGGTTGGCGAGAAGGAGGCCTGGCTGAGGTTTGCTTGTGACGGCCTTCTCCCAGTGACTACAGCTGACTCAGAGGAACCGCTCTGGGCCCTCAAGGTCACAGAAGTTTCCTTTCGTTGCCAGCTTGGGCTTTATGAAGATAGAATTGTTGGGGGTTTGTGTTTGCTTCTTAATACAGCAGAAGGTATGCTTTAAATCATCTCAAAAATTACGTGTTTAATTGTGTTTTTTAATTTTAGTTTTAGTTGTTAATTTTTTTTAAAGGGAAGCCACCAGACTTGGTATTTTGCTGTTAGTAGTGTGAAATTGGATGATTTATGGATGCTGAGATCCTCTAGAGAAAGCTGTGGCAGGGCAGCAGTTAGCACGAAAGTAGGTTTTCTCAATCATATAATAAAGGTATTATTATAAGAGTTAATAAGCACAGGCTTTAATAATTATAGTCGTAACCCCTGCTTCTTGGGAGGCATAGGCAAGAGGACCACAAGTTTAAGGCCGGCCTGGGCTACAGACAGAGTTCCAGGCTACCCTGGGTATCTTAGTGAGACTCTGTCACAAGATAAAGTGTAAAGCGAAAGGGCTGGTGACGTATCTCAGTGGTGGAATGTTTGTCCAGCCTATGTAAAACCACAGGTTCAACCTTCCATATGGGCAGGAATGGAAGAAAGAAAGAAACGAGGGAGAAGGGAAAGAGGGTGGGTTAAGAAGGAAGGATTAGAAAGCAACCTTATTTTTGACAAGCAGAGTGAAGTGTAATCGTAGACGTTTGTGTAGAATTATTGGCGTGGTGGTTTGGTAAACATGGAAACAGTACCCTTTTTGAAGACACCTCAGTGGGGTCTTCCCTTGCAACCTCATAAGCTTTCCCGTCACTGAAGTGCGGGTCTGGCCCAGGGGTATCCTGCTGCTCAAACCCATTCTGAAACAGGAGACAGTGGGAAGATGAGGTCAGCCTACTTTTGGCACTGTGAAGTCTCAGTAAGGCGCTTCTCTGGGTCCTCACTCCCACTTCTCAGGAGACAATGAAGTCGCCTGAACTCAGATAAAGAATCATCTATCCCCTGAGCTGTGTGTGCTGCCAAGCCTGAGCTCACCCTCCGGCACTACTCCCCTATGCTATAGGACTGTGGGTGTATATACAGAGCCTGACTTGGGGCTCTGGAGTTGGGACCACAGTATAAACCCTAGCCCCAGGAGAGAGAAGGCACGGGACCACAAGTGCTAGCTGCCAGACCTCTAAGATAGGAGGTGTTAGTTGAGACCAGTCTTTGATGTTAACTAACTGTTGAAATTCAATGAGATGTTTCAGTAATGGAGTTGATTTCTTGGCTCTCTAGGAAACACCTGCACAGTTAGGGGTATAGGTTTATCAGAATCAGAGATGAGCAGGCAAAACTAGCAAAAGCTGTAAGCTTGTAAAGACCAAGGCCTCCCAGCTGCCCGGAGAAGCAGGGTGTAGCTGATTGAGGGTCCTCTGGATCCAGTGCATGGAGATGAAAAGAGAGTCGTGACACTAAACAAACCTCTAACCTCTGCTGTACATGTTTTCAAGTTCAATGCCCGTGTGAACTCAAGACCCTTTGCTGTCAAGCTTGTAACCTGCATGCTTCAGGAGGAGCTGCTTCCCTGCCAGGACTGCTTGCCTGAATTCGTTTGCTCTGTCACTTGTAGAATTTCATGACCTGGATGGTACTTTTGATTTTGCTTCTGCGCCAAGAAACAAAATAGGGTATTTGAAGGTGTAGAGGTCACATGTTTTTTAAAAGAGGTGTCTTGAGATTTTTATCTTAATACATACATGTTTTATCGTCCCCTCTGTGACACATGTGAGGACACCTTAAATACATTGGAATGCATATGATTAAAATGCATAAGCTATCAGGCCTTTCCCAAATAATATGAACAGTTATGTATCTTAAGACACACACACACACGTACACACAAAGAAAATGTGAGAGAGACTTTTACCTTAATTAGCTGAGCCACCTATTCATGAAAGTTTAGTAACCAAAATGCTATGACTTCGTGCACATTGACTCTGGGCTTCATCAGATAACTTTACCTAGAAGGTCCTGGAAAACCAAACCCTGGGCATTGATTTAGCACTGTCAGCAGGTTGGTGCTCTTCCATTTTACCGCCGAGCTCTCGGAGGGAACTATGTTTGTTATTGCTGAAGGACAGCTTCTGGATATTATTCAATCAAATGGTAAAGATCCATTCAGTGCCCCAGTGTACAGTCTCTAATCATCCTCCATGGTAAATGGTAGTTAGGGTGGTTTGTGAGGATATTGTATCCTTAACATCCCCTTTCTCTGAGGGAGCAGGACTGACCCTGAGTGTTGCCTGTCACCCTCCTCCCTAGCAGCATAAACAGTCACTTTCTTTAGGGAGGATTTTTGGAAAGCAGCCATGTTTCCAGAGGCTTCTGTATGAAAACTGGCTGTACCCAGCCATTGAAGATGGCCAACTCCATCTCATTCAGTTACTGAAGTTCAAGAGTGAGATGTATAGGTTTTGCTATATGTACCAGGCAGTAGGTGGGAAGGTGCTTAGTCAGTAAATTGCTTGTTGTACAAGAGTGAGGACCTGAATTTGATCCCCGGCACTCACATAAGAAAGCCATGCACACATGACAGCATGTGCCTGCAACCCAGCGGGGCGTAGAGACAGCAGGATCTCTGGGACTCGCTACCGAGCCCATTGGCTTAGCTGAATCAGTGAGCTCTAGGTTCAGTGAGAGACCCCATCTTACAAAGATAAGGTGGCTGAAGACAGAAAAGGTGGCTCAAGGGTATGAGCATGTACTACTCTTGCAGGGGACTGGAGCTAAGTTCCTGATATCCCTGTCAGAGAGCTCACAGCATATGTAACTCCAGTTGTAGAGGATCTGATGCCCCCTTTTGGTCTCCTCAGGCACCTACACTCATGTGCACATACATAAGCATCTATATGCAGTCATACACACATACATGCAATTTAAAATAAAATTGTTTTAAAAATACGTTGGAAAGCAGTTGAGGAAAACACAACATCAGCCTCTGGCCTCAACCCATACTCATATAGGTGTGGCTAGGGCCTCAACACATACCCACAGAGGTGTGGCTAAGCATCTGTTAACATAAACATGTATACACACACACAATGTAGTGCACATAGATACATACTTATATATAGAAGCACATATCTAGAATGTGACATGAAAAGCCAGTCTTTCCTTATTAAAGTTCCCACTAAACTGAGGCCTAGGTGCCTGTCCTCCTGTCCCTCAGAGCTCATGGGCACAGGTAATCCTGCCCAAGTGGCTGTCTTCAACCAAGGTCTGAAGCCTCTTCAGATGGCCCTGGCCAATCCCTTACCTACATGACAGACTTAACAGTGTCTTGGGTCCTGGTTTGTACTTAAAATAGAGCCCTGCATACTTTCCAATAATGTGCCAGTCACCTGTGCCGTGCGCAGTTTTTCTCTTTCCAATTTCACATCTGCTCCCCAGGATGACGACTCCCATTTTTTCTTTCAGTTCAGCATCTGTGTGCTTTCAATGATCTATTTTTCCTTTTTTTTTAACCATCATTTTTCTTTCTCCAGTGGCTCCTGCTAACTCTTCCACCCTTGTTCCATTGTCTTCACGAGCTAGTGAGTATTGCTTTCTTCACCCCCGTGTCTCTGCAGGTGGCTTCCCACCTACCAGGCTCATCTGTCTGAGGTGATCTGCTTCAACAGGTGATAATTCAGCTCTGGAAATGGAAAGTCACATCAGGTTTTAAAAGAAGCAAAGGGAAAGAGAAATAGGCCCAGGGCCTCTCAGGGCAGACTTGAGAAGAGCTGTGCTCTGGGGAGGAAGCCCTGGAGACAGCTGCCCTGGGGCTACTTTGGTAGCCACAGACTTGTGAGGTGATTCCCAGCGGGCCAGACCAAAGCCGATGTTTGGAAAAGGCAAAGGAATTTACCAAGGAAAAAAAAAAAAAAAGTCTGCCCTGCCTGCAGGGTCATATAAAATGCTTTGAGGTGTTGCGTTTTCACCCTTTATTTTAGTTGGACTTAGGCACTGAAATTAGATAGTGAGGCCTGTAGCTTTTGCCATCTCCATACGTGCGTAGACGACTCATAAATATTTGTGGGAAAAATAACAGTGCCTGCTCACAGATGTGCCTGGCACCCGGGATCTGCACAAATTACTTAACCCTTTCAAGTGAGGCTTGCTGATTTCTGTCCTAAAATCAGACGATGAGTCAGTCAGTCCCCTACCCACCCTACAGAAAACAATGACAATTACAACATTTATCAAGCTCGGCTTTGCTCCCCTTGGTGGGGTCGCTGACCCAGTAGACCATGGCCTAGGCCTTTGCTGTAGAGGGTGGGCCTGGCTCCTGACCACTCACCTCCCTTCACCCCTCTGTACTTTTGTCTCTTGACTCCTGAGGCATGGAGAAGGCTCCAGGCCTTCTACTCTTTGGAAATTTGAACTTGGCTTTCTAACAAGGGGACAGGGGTGGGGCATTAGGTGTCCACCCTGTGAATGGTATAATGCCAGCATCAGCCCAGAGCAGCACACAGCAGCATGCCCTTCATGACTGGCTTTATTCTCCTTAATACTGCAGACACCCCCAAACCAACGTCCCTTTTCCCGTCATTTCTAATAAGAAGTGTTTCCACCATCTCAATCCAAGCTATGGACTGTAACCAGGCTTTGGAATCAGCCAGGCATTGATTCGAATTTTTGTTTTTAATCCTTCAATCTATAACTTCATGACCACAGATGAGTCCCTTGGCATCCCCAGTCTCAGAGCTCTTATTTCTAAAATGAATGATAAATTCCCCATTGCTGTATGGATATTTGTGAAAAAAAATGATTTAATCAAAATACGCGAGACATAGTATCCATAATCGAGAGATTCGGTATCTTGTGTTTCACGAGTCCTTTGTCAGCAAAATTTCTTTTACTCTCTCTAAAATATTTATATTAATACTGATAAATCAGGAAGGCAGGGTGAGTGACTGTCCCACTTTCTCTGATGCATATATACGTGTATATATGTACACACACATATATGATATACATATATATGCATACACACTTATATGTTCAGTTTGTAATTATGGTTATTTAAGTTGTATCTCTCTTCTCACCTTTACCGTTTTGTGCCCTTCCTGTCCTTCATGTTCCCATAGCAACCTGGCCTCTTCCTGTCCTTCCAACCACAGACCTGTCTAGTGAGTACTGAGCCTGGCTGCTCTGGGCAGCGCCTCTGATTGGATGTTTGTAGTAGCACAGACTACAGTAGTGACTGCATGGAGGCCTGCAGCCTTGACCAGTTTCCTAAGCATGCTGTCTGTTTGGTCAAGAAAACAAATGAAGCCCCACCGAAGGAATAAGGGGTGATTATTTGGAAGAGAGTCTATGCTTGAGGAGACCTTTCCAAAGAGGCATTCCTGTTAAAAACAGAAAAAGATTAGGAAAACCCGAGATTTTACTGTCTCTGCTTCTGAAATGTATGTGCATGTGCACACACACACACACACACACACACACACACACACACACACACAATAATAATAATAATAACAATAAGGCTGAGAACAAGGAAGAAACCAGAGGAGGAATGGCTGCTCAGAGAAGGGTGGAGGGGGGCTGCGCCCCCTGACAACATGGCTGCCCTTGTCTCTCTACAGAGCATGTAATGGAAGGAGCCTCAGCCCCTTCCTTCTGCCCCTTAACACTTGGTGCTAGAAAAATAATAGAACAAAGCCACTCCCACCCCCAGGCTCTCTCCGGTGCAAGTGCTAGACTTCCACTCCTGACAGTAGAATCCAGGGGTCGACTGCATCCCCCTTTCCAGCCTGAGAGCCTGCTGAGTCAGCACTGACAGCTTCCAGTCTGGCTTTTGTGATGTGAAGCCCCTTGACTAGGCAACAAGACTAGGGACTGCCTAGCTTCCAGCACCAGACGGTGGGCAGGGCTTTCAGCTTTTGCCCTGTTTCTGGATGCAGAGAGAGCTTGTTCTGCCTCCTACCAAGCAGCAGTCAGAGAAGGCAGATGACAGGCCTGCGGAGTTCCACACCCCGGCTAAGGCTTTTGATACATAATTAAAGAGGAGAGAAAAGAGTTTCCTGGTTCAGTATGCTGTGCTGCGTGGATTGGTTCTTTTTTTTTTTTCTTCCTCCTGCAGAATGCAACTATGGTCTGCTTTCTTGATGTTCCTCTGTGTGTGTGCTGCAATGAATTTTAATGCCTGATGCCTTTGAGGTTTGCTTCTGCGAGCAGAGCAGACCTGTGACAATAAGCCAGGCTCATTCGCATGGGTTTAATGCTGATGATGGGCGTGAGGATTTTCTTGTTTGTGGTATTTTTGCATTTGAACAAGCAGTGAAGCTAACATCACCCTCTCTTCTACCGTGCCCCCTACTGACCCTTTTCAGCCTAGTGCTGTATGTGTCCCAGGCAATAGGAGAAAGTTGCATGACCATGTGTACAACCCTGTCCTATTTGAGACACCTCTTTCTTTGTATCTCAGTCTTGTCTATCAATGAAACACAGTCTTGGCTCCAGACTTCTCCTGAAAGAGAAATGAAGTTGTTCTCCTTTTTGACGAGTGTTTTATTTTTAAACTTCAGACATTTCTATCTGCAGATAAGATGCTTAGTCGCGAAATCTGATAGCAGGAAGTTGGAGACTGTTTTATTTTGAACCACTTGACTACTGACCCAGATCATAAGTCCCGGTGGATAGCGAGATAAAAGAGAGGCCGTCATGACTGACAGCAGCCTGCCTTAGTGTGAATGCCTTCCTCCCCATCAAGACAAGATGGAGAGCATGTGAGCCACAGTGGAATGGGAGCAGCGTAGCCAGGACCACACAACTCCATCAGTCAAATAACAGAGATGAAATTAAGTGATGTTTCCTAGGTGTCTATGTTTGTGTGGTATGTCTCTGTGTGTGTGTGTCCGTTTGTGTATGTCTGTGTGTGTGTTCGTGTGTGTATATGTTTGTTCGTGTGTGTGTGTCTGTGTGTGTGTCCGTGTGTGTATATGTATGTTCATGTGTGTCTGTGTGTGTGTTTGTGTGTGTATATGTATGTTCGTGTGTGTGTCTGTGTGTGTTCATGTGTGTATATGTATGTTCGTGTGTGTGTGTGTCTGTGTGTGTGTCTGTGTGTGTGTGATGATCTATTTATGTTCAAAGGTGAAGGTAGTTTTCATAAATAAAAGCAAGAGGAACTTCTCGTCACTTATACTTCCTGCCAGGCACCTTTGTCAGGAACCTGTGGCATGATAGACCATAAAGTCATGCATTCTGTTAGCTCAGGGTGGCAAAGGCATACAGCACTTAGCCAAAGCACTTCCTTCTCATTATTTTCAGTCAGTGGCATACTTTCAGAAAGATATCTTTACCTCCACTTTGCCCTTCTCTCTTAACCTCAACTGTCAGTAGCTAGAACTTGCCCCCAGGCCTGTGAAAGTTCTGATAGGAAACCTAAGAATTTGGGTCGATTATTTAATCCCAGACTGCAATGTGGAGTGAAACTCATTGCAAAAGGAATATTGGTGAACTCTAACAGCAAAACCCTGGTTTACTCTGTAGTTCTCAGACCCCTTTCTTATCCATGCAGTCTTGGCAAATCTGAAGGCATCATTGGGTCCATAAGTAGTCCAGTGTACTTTTAATGTCACACTCTCTGCGTGCTGGACCAGGGTCTGATTTCTGCTGTTTGGTATTGATGCAGTCATTGTATCAGTACCAGAGGGTACCTAGCCCTTTACCTGTACTGACCTTTAGCTTTTATGTGTGCCTTTGCTCTGAGGAGTCCCTTAGGGTGTTAGGAACATCGCGGGTATGACATAAAGAAGTGGAATTAGACCCTACACGCTGTCCCTCTCTGGCCTGTGACTCCCCAGCCTCCCTCAGTCATTTCCCTCTCCGATTTGGCCAGAACAAACATGAACTTGCTCTCATTAATTAAACACAATCTGTTATTGTTTCAGGACTCTTCCTTGATGGCCTACAGCTGTTTCACTGCCATTGCTTCCCCAAGGATGCTGAGACAATTCTGGAATCTGCAAATAAATAACGTGCTCTTTCCTTTCCTTTTCTTTTTTTTTTTTCTTTTTCTTTAACAGTCTCTGAGATTGGCCTAGATTGACATCTGGGCCTTGACAGAAATACCCCCTCATTTTTAAAGTGTTCATGCTCCTTGGTGTGGTATTAATACGCAATGTTGCAACTGTATCTAATGCTTATTGGTGTTGTTAACCAAATGCGCTATATAGTTTGTTATCTCCTCCTTCTGGGCAGCACAGTTGCCTTCCCAGTGTTTCCTGTATAAGCTGCTAATTTAATTTGATTTCTCCTTTTATTTAGTCTGTGATTTTGTTGTTGATTTTTTTCTCCCTACCCATTGTTTACATCAGTTTTTAATTTTTTTGTATTTTCCATGTGACCTCCTCCACTTTCCTTTCAACCAATCATGTGCGTGCGTATCATGTGACTTTGTCATGTGGCTTGCATGGTGCTGATGATGTCGTCCACGCTGGTGAACAGAAGGTAAAACTCTTTGTTCTGATTAGAGGACTAAACCTGGAACCGCAGCCTGGCACGCATTTCTTCTTGTCTCAGATATGTTCAGCAGAGCCATTTGAAAGATCTATTCTAGTTCTCAATTCACATCTAGAATTCAACAGTCCTTGCAACCTGGACATGGCAATCTGATAACCTTTAGTTTAATATTTTCCCTCAAGAAATCTGGTCCCACCCACTGCCCTCTCCTTAAAGCCACATTAGCCACAGTACAGTTTGGAAACTTAACTTTGGAACAGGCTTCACAAACGTGATTTCCCAGAAACGTGCCTTGCAAATTAGCCTCATTGCTTAACTTTATATCCAGTAGCTCCTTAAACCACAATTGCTCCAAAGTGAGCTGCAACCCCTGCAGAAATGGTTTGAGACCTCCCAGTGCTCCCTAAAATCAGATAAATCCGTGCAAAGGTTGCACTCCTGTAAAAACCAGAGAGTGCTTCACGAAATTTGCATAAATGGAGGACTTTCTGAAATAAGAATCTGGATTGATGGCTGAGGTGTCACTTTTCAAGAGTGGCCCTCCCCCAGGCAGGAGGCACAAATCAAGCAAAAGTCACTTGGCAATTAGCGATGACTTGAAGTCTCCGTGTAATCAAGAAGCACATGATTGACCCTTACCGAAAAGGAAATAAAATTATAGCCTGATGAAGTGCAGAACGGTGACGAAATAATTAGCTAATATTGTGCCTGTCACAACCTTGTTAAAACACCGCTCGCTCACCATCAAGAGAGAAGGGGACCTCTGCTCTTGACTCCTCCCCCACTAAAATCAGACCTACTCAGAGCCTCCCCTGGGAGTCACAGGCATTCTGTTCTCTCCTAACGGTAAAGTTACTTCACATCACACCCTAAAGACACATACAGGCTGCAGTGATGACGTAGCCGGACTAACACCAATAACCACTCGGTGTGCCTGCGCATGCAAGGGGCTCCCTCCATTTGACCTCACTGCTGACCTCCCTTCTCTGAGAACTGATTGGGCGACATCCACACAGTCAAAATCTCAGTAGCTTGTCTTGCATGGTCTTTGTTCCTGATCTGGTCCCTGAGTCACACTCCCTGTGTGTGTTACCCTCTGTGCATCCCCCTTTCCTTTGTCCTCCATTGGCCATCGCTGAGGACTTCCTCTTTGTAGGTGTGGCAGCACCCCCTAATCCAGTCCCATTTACACCCAGACTCCCAGGCTTGCAGAGTTGTCTGATATGTTACGTGGTATGCAACAAAATAGGAATGTCCCTAAAACAAAAGAAACTTGCAAGCCCCAATAATTGATCTAAGTTAAAGAGGGGTGTTAGAGGGCTGTCTTCAAGACCTGTAATCAAGGCCAAAAATTTGGTGGTAAATGTTTCCTGAAGCTGTCCCAAAGCACACCTCGGTGCTGATCCAAGCTGTCAATGAAAAGATAGAGTCCCAGGGGGCCTTGGAGGAGTCCAGGCTGCAGTGGCCCTCACATCACCCCCGCGTTCCCATCCATTTCAGACCCTCAGCTCTCGTATGAAAGGGCTAAGCAGAAAACTGGCTGTTTTCACTTCAGGTGAACTACCAGCAACCAGGCAAAAATTTAACAACAACAAAAAAAAGGCAAAGGGGGAGAAGGGGGAGGGGTTAGAGCAAATGTTTGGGGAAGGAAAGTGAAGCTTTGTGATTACTAAGGACTTAAGGACTTGAACCTGACTTCAGATGATTTAAATAAGCCAGTAGCTTCTCTCTTGTTACTGAGTTGTACATACGACAGCTAATGGAATCAGATAGTCCCTGTCTCCCCCGATCCATCTCTTCCTACCCATAACTGACTGAGATGTGTTTAACACTTGCTGGAAGCTCCACCCATCTTAGGTTCCGCTGGGCAATATTTACTATGTCCTGAAGCAATGGATGAAAGAAGAGGGAGCTTAAGCCAGGGACTGAACCCCATTACTCATCACCAAAGAGCAGAGAGAAGAGAGAAGCTTAAGCAGCTGCCCTCAGGACAGCAGAAGTGAGTTTGCTGGGGGGAGCTGAACTCTGCCCTTTGCAAACATCTATTCTGAGCATGCCCCATGTACCTGCAGAGCTCAAAGTGCTGCCACCGAGCAGTGGTTTTATAGGCCATTATCCATGGGTTCTGTAAATGGGACTCCCCATTTCCCACCATCAGCATGAGTGTGACAAGCTCCCTGTACTCCCTCTGTCACTGTGCTGCATGTCTGAGCATGGCTCCCTTCACACCCCATTCATAATAAAATCTTTTTTTTGTTTGTTTGTTTCTTTAGCTACTGACCCTGACTTGTATTAGGCAATGCTGGTTCTGACGAACTAAATTCTTTAACCCCACTCTTCCTTCTTAGATTGAAAACATCACTAACCACCCCTTCCACACCCTCCTTTATTTTTTTTACAGCTGTGTGTTTGGAGCCTCGGTCTCTGACAGGTCGACACAGACTTTCCACCAGCCTTTCTGCTCTAATTGCCTTTGTTCCAAAGGATCTCCCACACTGGCGGCTCCCAGGGTAGAGAGGTAGCAGGAATGGTCTTCAGAGGGAGACAGTGGTGCATTTTATCTTGCCTGAAACCTGTGAATAGGGACCGGCTTTGGAAACTGCCGGATCCCCCGTGGTTACCACCTTGAGGGCAGAAACGTCCTAGTAGCCCAGGTCTTCTTACTACCCAAACCAATGTCCGTGAAATAGTGAAGAAGTGTATCGCCCCCTTGTGGCATGGAGGCAGGAGCAGAGTTCACTCGGGCCATAGTTATTTCTGTCCTAATTTCCTCAACCTGGATCAGCCCCATAACCACAAGCCAACCTTCATGGTCACTTATTTTTTTTTTTTTAAGGACAATGAAACAAAGATAATTGGTCAATTAATCTGTTGGTGCTTTCATGCCACCCGCAAGAAGGGAACCGGTGTTTCTGTGGTTCAGTCTGTCAGAGTTTATTTGTTGCTGCCTAATTTGCATTTTGTGCTATCGTCTGAGCCCCCCCCCCAATACCAACACGCATTCATAATTCCTAAGAGAAATGGGGCTGAACTGGACTCTGCACCAGGTCTCTCAGTGAGCTCGTCCCCAGGGAGCTCAACATCCTTTCTCTGTAAAGATCCAAGGTATTGCAATTGGAGAGATAGCTCAGTAGTTAAGTGCACTGGCTGCTCTTGCAAAGGACCTGGGTTCTATTCCCAGTATCCACATGGCAGCTCACAACCATCTGAATTCCAGTCCGAGAAGATCTGATACCTTCTTCTGGCCTATGTAGGCACTGGGCACTTGTGTGGTATACAGACACACATGCAGATAAAACATTCTTATACATTTTCAATAAATAAAGCCCAGGGAACTGCTCACTTCCCTACCCATTCATTCCATATTTCAGCATCCCTTGAAACCGGGGACTAGGGTGACAAAAGTCAAGTCACCTTAGACAGGCACATCCTTAACCCCAAAGAGGGGGGAAAAACAGTTGTCTCCAGAGGCCTCTTTTGGGGCAAACAATGTCAAAGACAAATTGGCACCTTTATCTTCAACATCACAGAGCTAAGCTTTGGAAGTGTGGGAAATCCGGGGAGAGGCCCCCAGAGATGTGTCAGGGAGAGTTATAGGGGCAGAGAACAGACAGCCTACATCACATTAGAGACATTCGCTTGACATCTCTAGCTAAGAACTCCATTTTAGGAAGGAGAATTAGTGGCCTAATAACTCTAAATCCCGATTCCCCAAGGCAATTTGCTAATCCCCACAGGACCTGTCAATACTGGTCCTTGATGGAACTGTAATGTGTCTGAGCTGGAGACATAAAATAGGCTTCCCATCTGAATAGGGAAATCATCCACTTTAGACTTTTATAAAGACACATGTAATAATAATAATAATAAAAGGCATACACGAGACTAAATTGCTGGTAAGAAATAACTAAACAAGGGAGACTGGAGCTGGCTTAAGCAAAATGGACAGGATTTTAATTCACAACAGTGCTATTTGATAGCCTTCAGTGCAAACTCTAGATCTATCACTAGGTAATCTTGAGTGTAGCTGAGATCACCACCCTCAGTGCAGATCTGTATGAAGAAGACAGAGCGAATGAGGGCTGGAGGGTTGACTCAGCAGCTAAGAAGACTACTTTTGCAGAGGGCCCAAGGTAGTTCCAGCACACAGTAGGCCGCTCCCGAGGCTCTGACAGCCCCCTCCTCATCTCTGTGGACACCGGCCCTTCTGTCCACAAACCCACACACAGACACATACATACGTGACTTATTCAAAATAAGCCTTTAAAATGGGTGAGCGTGAACAGAGACAGAGCCTCTAGTGGGGTGCTGGTTGGGCCCTTGGTTTCTCATGCTAAACGTGCTGCTGGCCTTGTGCTTGCTGGAGTGGAACAGGGACCCTTGCTCTCCTTTCTCAGTTCACAGATGCCTTCGCGAGCCCTGAGCTTGCTATGGTTTTTGTTGTGAAGTTGTGCATCCAGGAGTTCACCAGACCCCTGCTGATGAGAGGCAAGGCATGAAGCCGACTCAGATTGAAGGGCTCAAAAGCGCAGTAATTCCAAAGGAAGAGCCTGTAATCTCCATGGCCAGAAATATACGTTTCAATTATGGTTTATGGGGGGGCTCTCATAGGGCCTGCCCATGGTATAGCCGACACTACATGGCCTTTTTCTTACTATTTTCTTCTTGCGTGTATGATTTATGTTCTGCTGGAAAATATCAGGACCGCCCAGGATTTCATATTTGTTGTTGTCAAGGTTTATTTTTAAAGTAGCGCTGTGTTCGGCTTTACCATAAATATGTGAGGGGAAAAGAATTTGATTCCTAGATGAAGCTCAATCCAAAGGGTATAATTAACCCCAGGGGTCTTCTTAAAGCAACCTGCCTATTGCTGATGAACAGCAAGCCAACATTTACAAATAATTACAATATTGGTTCTTCTGAAATTGCCCATAATGATTTCAGTCACAGCAGCAGCCACCCCAGAACCTTGGGACCCCCTGAATCATTTCCTCTGCTACTGGGTTCAATTAAGCAGTGAGCCTTTTTAACGCTCAGACTCCATTGTCTCTGCAATGACCCCGTCCTCACCAAGCCTGGTTCTGTGCAGACCAGGAAGTTTTGTTAGCCCCATTTCTAATCTATAAGAAAAACCAGACAGCAAGTGTTTGAGGATTCGTAAGAACATGGATTTAACAGTCGCTCTTCCCCAACCTTAATGAACTTATAAAAGCTTGTAGGGCCACCACATTGGTCCAGAGCTCCACATTAGCTGAAAATAAATCTTCCTGCAAGTCATAGGAAAGGTTATATATACTATTGCTCAAGAACCCCACTATCTTTTTAATGATCATAAAACTATATATTTTTTTCATTTTGTTAGAAAATCATGTCATTCACCTTTGAGATTTCATTGCCTGATAGACAACTTCTAAAACTCAATTCAACCCATTTGTATGATTAATCATAGGCAAGGCTTTTTAAATGAAGCCTAAATACTATATGATATGAAATGTTCTACACTCCAAGCTAAAATAACTATGAATCAGAGTAACCTTGTCAGGCAGAATGATAGCTAACTCTACTGTTTGAGTACAGTAAACGTCAGAGCTGTGGCAGAGTTTTCAGGTGTTGTTTTGAGATTATATGCATATATTTTCAGAAACAAATTCAGAGATAAGAGACTGCCCTCAGCAGGGCTGCTGGGTTCTTCAGGGACTCCTGGGAAAGGTGCCTGTTCATTTGCATGCCTTTAAAGGGACTTGGAAGTCTCTCTTCAAAGACAAGAATATTCTTAAAGAAAGTTTTACAAAACCATAAAGCAAGAACTTGACAATGGTGTATCATTAAGACACAGAGCTGTTGCTCTTAGGGCGTGTCTCCTGAAAAAGGTTGGCTGAAGGCCATTTATTGTGTCTTCCACCCCCATGGTGTTGCGAAGAATAACCAAGGCAAAGTTGGTAATTTCCCTAAATCTACCCGTGCAGGGGTGGCAAAGGGAGAAGGGGCCTTAGATTTGATTCTGTACCCCCGTTTACAAAGAGTGGAAACAAACCGAGGCAGATGATGCTTTATAGCTCCCACGAAGCAGAGTTCAGAGGAAGTGTTTCCAGGTGCTGACTCTGCCTGGAATGTCCACAATGCTCTGTTCTCAAGAGGAAACAGTGGGGAGCCTTCAACAACGCAGCTGGGTGGACTCCCCTCCACCTCACTCCAAGGAGGCCTCAGACAATCACTTGCCTGGCGAATCCCCTCCTTCCTCAGCAGAGGGACACCCAGCTCAGTCCATGTCATGATTTTGAGTGCAGAACACCATTATACCATTTCCATTCAGTCCTGGCCACCAATCATCCCAGTTATTTCAGGACTAAGGGGTTTCCTGGGAGATTGAACTTTCAGTGCTAAAACCTGTAATGTTTGAGGGTCCCTGGGATAAAGCGGTCACCTCAGTCTGTCAGAGAATAGAACTTGTTGAGTTCTCTCACGGCTCCATCAGGACTACGGCATTCAGTATTGTGAAATCTACCAAAGGGCCTGACCTCATTCTACAGCAGACTATGCTTTGAGTCACACTGGGCATTTATAATGGTGTCGATGCCATTGACTTACTTCCTAAGACGCTAGAAAAGCTCAAAGGAATATGAAAAGCCTACATAGATTGACATAAACAAACCAGGTCCAAATGCTTTTCTCTAAATAGCTGGGGACAGTGGCTACATTCTAGCTTTAAAAACAGGACAAGTATTTTTCTAAAACCTATTTATCTTTGTATTTCTACTTCTTTATGTTTCTTAAATTCCCAGTTGTAGAGAGCAGATATTAAGACTGACTTTTCCTAAATAACCTTTGGGCATCAAAACTGTTGCAGTATGTGTCCGTCCTCATCTCCTCCCGCTTCTCAAAGCCTTTTCGTACACACATCTCACCAAGGAATCCCGCCTGTTGCAGCAAGAGGCTGGGTTTCTAACCAGCTCCAGACAATGTGCATGCTGTACCCCAGGGGATGTCTAGTAGGGCTCCGGGTGGCTTGTTCTCTCTGTTTCCATCGTTGAATCAAAGGGAGGAGGCTCCCAACAACTGAACAAGGACACCAAGCTAAACTCCAGCTTTGCCAACAGCCTTCCATTTATGGCCAGGGGTGCATTGTGAGGTCATCAGCTTCTTTCCCTAGTGACAAGTCCCTTCCTGGCTCTCCCGTCACCTCCCCCCATTTTTTTCAGTACCCCGCTTAGAAAGATAGTGGACTACAACCTCCCCATGAGATCAGGAAATAGATCAGAGTCTGGTCCTCTCTGGAAGCCCTCTGGTTCCTACAAGCAAAGAGTTTTAATTTCAACCCTGTATTACGCATTTCCTCATCTGCTCCTCTTAGCGCAGGCTTGCAGTTTCTGGTCCAATAGGTCAGCATCACATTGCAGAGCCATCCTGGCGCTCTCTGATAGATCACACGCAGGTTCAGGATTCACGATGCTACCATCCAAGTGAGCATAAACTCCAAATGCAGAGAAACAAACAACTTTGCTTTTCTTGTCGCAAAATGCCAAAGCCATCCCCCACCACTCTCACAAAGAAAATGCCTGCAATGATAGTTACTTTAATACAATAAAGAGCCAAAGATTATCGCTCACTTGACTGAGCCGTAAATGTAGTTACATTCACAGGAAACTTGCCTATGGCAATTCGTGTTTTATTTAGCCACAATTGGAAACATGTTTTTAAGTGATGCTAAGCAATAAAATTTAATTCATGGAAAGCTGGTTGCGAGAACATAGCATCATTCACCCCCACCAGTGACCAAGCCCTCGGGACTCGAGGGTGAGTTATGATGTTCCTAGGGATAAAAATGCAGGGCTATTCTGAAAAGCAATTTGATGCTTTAAAATTTCCTATTCAGACCTGCTTAGATTTGCCCATATTTCAGGCACTCTGTCAAGATGTGTCAGGTGTATAGAAATCAAACATGTAGAGTTGGGGGAAGAAATGTGAGTACCGGTGCGAGAGACAGAAAAAGAACTGTGTTCACAGGGAGTGTTTTCCAGAATATTCCCACAAAGCACCCCCAGCCATGACCGAATGAGGCAGTCCAGTGGGATTCAGAGCTCTAAATTCACTGCTTGTTAACCATTTGAATTTCTGATAAAGCAAGGACAGTGCCCAGTCCCACCGCATCACTCCGTCCCGTTTTGATGGGCCCACTTCTCATCCCATGCACCCAGATTTCATGGGAGTTTGCTGGCTATTTCAGGGGAACCCAGCGCACCCAAGCTGGAAGGGCAGATGGGAGAGGATGGGAACTCCATCAAAGTGAACCTGATCAAGCAGGATGACGGAGGCTCCCCAATCAGGCATTATCTGGTCAAGTACCGAGCGGTAAGTAGTCCCATCCTCAGACCCCCTCTCCCTACCCTGGGACCCTGATACCTACCTTGTTGGATCAAGAACTCGAGAATTCCAGGTGAGGCAAGGGTAGGGCAGGGTCCCACTGGGCAACTTGAAGGAGACCCATGAATCTTAGCAAAGGTTTTAAATCCCAAGACTGACATACCACTGTTAGGCCACGCCCACAGTGGACCCATTTTAAGACTTCTGCTATGATTGGGATGGTGAGAACATCATCATGGTTTTCCTGATTCTTTCAGTTTTTCTACAGTGTTTTTTTTTCCCATAATCTAAGACTTCTGTGCAAAATTGTCATGCTGCCATCCAGCAGCCACTGCCTTTGATAAAGTGTGTCTCCTGGACCAGGTGCTATATCCGGGTGTAGTTCCTGCCCTGGATCCCAGGAAGTGGGTATTACAGCTAGCTCCCACATTGCAGATGAAGCAACTAGAGCTATAACAGCCAGAAACTGATGTCCCCACACTTACGGGCTAGGATGAGTTGGAATCCAGTCCTGTAAGCTCTCGCCTGGCTTACTTTGAGATCCAAAGTTGGATCCCCTGCCTGTTCTTCTCAGCACCTCAGTTGGGCTAACTGCTAACAGGCAGCTTGACGCCACGCTTCCCCTGGTGGCTAGCTCACCACCTACCTAAGATCTCTACTAGACCATCTTTCATCCCCACGCCCCAAACTGAGAATCCCTCTCTTCCAGTTTCAGAATAACATTTTACAAGCAGTCGCGGGCCAAGGGCCATGGTAGTGGGTAGTGACTGTCTCTGGGTGCTGGGAATAACCTGTTTCTAAGGTTTCTTAATAGCTGGGGGTAAGGGACCAGAGAGCAGCTTGCTTTCTCCATGAAGCCCCAAATAAGGCTTTTTGCAGGAAGTATGCTCATCCCTCCTTCTCCTGGGAACAGTTCCCATGTGAATGGCCTGTGGGTCCGTCCTAGAGACCACAGGCATGCTCACCCTGCAGCTGGAGGACAACCTTTATCTACTCAGCTCTCCCAACTGAATCAGGTCTGAGCCGCCACAGTAGGAGAAGCCTCAGTAAACTTCCTTAAGGGTCAGCCCGGAGATACAACTATATGGGAGGCCCTGTAGCTTGTTACTACGGGGACGAATGCCAAGACTTGCCAGGTGGCCCTGGATAACGTAGCTGGAGAGATGCTATGGTAGTTGGAATGCCTCTGCCTATTACGAACCTGAACGGCATCAAATTCCAGCTTTACCTTTTGCCAGCATGTGGTCTGAAGGCCAGGTAATCTCATCTTCCCAAACCTCCATTTCCTGATCTGAAAAGTGAGAATAAAAAGAACTCAGATCAGTTACAATATAAGTAGAGGTCCCAAAATGTCCCAGGTGCTCCTCTGTAAATGGTAACTAGGATACAGGACTCAGCTAGAAATCTTTCCCATAGGAAGACAACCTGAAGTCTGTTTGCCCGAACAGTCACTGTGGCTGTGTTTAACAGAGGAACAAAATGCCGAGCTATTTTTGATTTCAATGACTTTAACCATCCTCTTCCACTTTGAGGCTTCATGTTTGCTAAATGCAATCACATATTATTAATATGTATTACATAGCATAAAGTTTGCTTTCCTGAGTGTTTGCTTTATCGTCTGGTTGTCTCTTTTGTAATGATGTTTGCCGAGGAAGGCAGAGAAAGAAGAGTAAAGAGAGACAGCCCAGCTTCTTTGTTTTAAATTAAAACAGCGCCATAGCAACATGTGCAAAGCTAAGTTACAGCGCAACCCAGGCTTCCTGGTTAGTTTACAGGATACTAGAATCCCCTCTGGGTAATTTCCCACAGCACTCTCGGCCCTGGAATGAACACTAACGGCATCTTTGTAGCTGATCAGAACTACTTTGCCAGGTAAACTCTCTTCCTCCAGCCCCAACCAGGACCTGTGATGCTCACTGGACTGCATCCTTCCTGATACTGTTGCCGTGTTCTAACCCCTGTTCACTCCATATTGGTCAAACCCTTCCCCCGAGTGCCCAACTTGTACGTGAGGTGTATATGGCTTTTGAAAAAGCCAGAGACTATGACATGCTGAGCCTTGCAACTATAAAACCATCTGAAGATTTCTCAGGAGGACTTGAGGCCTCTCCCACACTGTTTTGGTATGCAGGTGGTTGCCTAGCAATAGCTTTGGAAACTCTCTTCCAGTACAAACTCCTTGGCAAACGTGTAGGATATACCTAGAGGGGAGGTTGGATGAAGGGGGCGGGGCGGATCTCCAGAATTTTGCATCTCTCCTTATGCCCTGGCTAGTGTTTGCAAAGCACTGTGGGATACTCCGTGTGAGCCCAATGAACATCCTTCACTTGTTCAGCCACAATGAGGCCAGGCCACTCGACAGGGAACAGGACAGCCCAGTTCAGTTCAACACATGTTTGCTGAGCTCCCTGTTATGAAAGGGAAAATGCAGTTTGGGTTTGAAGAGGCTGGGCTCCAACCTTGTCTGCAGACTGACGTGGGAAGTCAGCCTAACCTCTTGTTCATGGCCCTATAATCAGATTTAGTAAGAGCCTCAAGTGATGCCCTGAAGGTTTGTTGTAGGGATGTGGTGAAGATGGTCCAGGCAGCCCTAACTGCAGCAACTGACCTACAGAGGCTCCTCAATAGATGACTCGCCTGTCCGAATGTGGACAGCGTCCTGAAATATAACAAGAAACATTTGTTTTCACTCCTTTGAGAATCCCTTATTCCAGAGTATAAGGGAGCTAGGGTAGGTAGGGGACAACATTTGAACCCTCACCAGTCCTGAAGTTGGTGGGAAGTGAAGTCAAAACCGTGCCACACTGACATTCCTTACTTATGCTGTTGATGCCAGCAAGCAAGCCAGGAGGATGCCCCACTGTGGAAAAGCCTCAATGGTTTCTTATTTTTTTTTTTTTTTACATTTTGACCCCATGGTTTTCAGTCCGCATCACTCTGTGCCTCTTAGCCAGTCTCTCCAGAATGCTCACTCAAGCTCCCTGCTGTTTTCCACTGTCCCCAGAAACTTGCCTCTGAGTGGAAACCCGAAATCAGGCTCCCATCCGGCAGTGACCACGTCATGCTCAAGTCCCTGGACTGGAACGCCGAGTATGAAGTATCTGTGGTAGCTGAGAATCAGCAAGGAAAATCCAAGGCAGCTCATTTTGTGTTCAAGACTTTAGCCCAGCCCACAGCCATCCCAGGTACAGCCACCTCTGTGTTTCTGTCTGTTTTCCCGCTTTGAATTAATGCATACATGCCACGCCTCCTAATGCGCCTGAACAACCCTGACAACTTGCTTGCTTACAGCCATCCTCATGACTGGTTGCTCGTGCCAAGCTTAGTTTTGCCTTAGCCCCATCTGTGCAGTGGGTTGACATGTACCAGACTCTCCAGGAGAGTGTTGCCAAGCGTCCTGGGGCAAAAGGTACTATTTCATTTGGCCTTGAAATATCAGTGCTAACCAGTCTATGGGACTCCCCTCAGATGGGAAATGCCCCAACCCCTGCCTTGCCTTGGTTGCTGGTTGAACAAGGATCCTTGATGAGACTTTCTCTGCCATCTGCATTCTATACTAGGACCACATAACTGGTTTTATGCCATTTATATATGACCCTTGCTTTTGCTGTACAACCATGGTCTAACTCTTCTCTCTGGTGACCCCAAGAGAAGGAATAGATGGTGCCCAGTTAGCTCCATGCTTAGCTGTGAAGGACCTCTCCACTGTGCTAGAGACAAACTGAATGTCTTGGAACGGAGCAAGTGGAAAACTTAGATCCTGGGAAGCGCCATCAATGGAAGGGCAGCCAGTCTGCTAGACCATGGTAACAGCCGTGCTCCTAGAAGATGCAGATTCGTCTGTAGGATCCAGGACCAACTCAAGTGTGGGAATAAAGTGAGAGCTCTGATTGCTGGCCCGGATACCCTGTGCTCGTGGCCAGTCCCCTAATTAGGCAAATTCCTCCAAGAAGATTCAGCCATCACTTTGCCTTTCCAGAGCCAGTCAAATGCCAACCACGGGCAGGAGAGATGGCCATAGATCGTATAGATGCAGCCTGTTGGAGAAGTCCCTCTATGCTCTACCATGTTCAGATGTGGTAGGAGGACAGCCTGGGGTAGGCCTATCACGTCTACCCGGTCTGGAGAACTTACTTAGCTGATGAGCTGTTGTCAAGCTTCCTCTTCCCCGGGGAAAGTCAGGCCAGAAAGGAGATAGGCTGCCTGCCATGTAGGGTTATATGTGCCAAAGTGGGTAGCAACAGAAGGAGATCTTGGTGTGTGACTCTTTATGGTTGTTTGTGTATGTGTGTGTGTGAGTGGGTGTATGTGAACTTGGGGGAGATGTTTGGGGCCTCCAGCCAGTTGGCAGGTGAAGGTTGAGCTGTAGACTAGACATGTCAATTGGTTGATTGGACTGTGGGGAGGGATTTCTTGTTCAGTTTAGGATCCCAGTACTAGAAGGAGGTCTTTGGATGTGGCTATAGGAAGTTGCCCTCGTTGTATCTCAATAGAGTGCCCAAATGGATGTGGCCCTGCTTTTCCTCTGTCCTTTCTTTCCTGTGTTCTTTGATTGGTTTTCCCTTGGAACTGAGAGTGTTACATGTGTCCAGATCCATGCTTTTGAGCCTCTTAAGCTTCGGGGACTAGTGAGGCTTAAGTTAAGCCCTTTGCATCAGGCCATAGGCTAGTTCTTCCCCACAGTGAGACTTGACGGGCAGCATGCTTGGACATGCTATGTTCCCAGGCTGGGCACTGCCAGCCACTTCACTTTCTGGGCTTCCAGTGTGAGCATGAGAAATGCTAGAGAGTGCTAGGCGTTGCGACGACCTGGGAGAATATCATCCAGACTCCCTCTTAAGCCAGACAGGATTAGAAGGGCCTTACCTTGTCCACAGTGACTTGACGACCGCTGTGCATGTACTGAAAGGAGAATGCTCTGGTTGGACTCTCCTAGCCATTTTATTAGAATTCAAGAATAAGTCCACTTTGCATTGTATGGCGTAGATCCGTGGTCGAATTCTGTGGTCCACAGGTTGGTAGAGGGTGAGATGTTCAGGACTCTGCCAGCACGATGGTGGGGCTTGCGCAGTAGAAAGACAGGTCTGCTTTGGCTCTTCAAAGACCGCCCCGCCTCCCCAGTGCCGTGGCTGTGGTGGCGCCACCCACGGCATCTCAGCCTGGACCAGCAAAGACCTAGACACAAGAAGGGCACACTCGTTGCCGCGCCTCAGGGGCTCCGTCTCAGTGAGAGGTAACATTCTCCTGACCTGACCCTGCTCCTCTACTGCAGAGGCTCCTGCTCTCTCACTTTAATTTCATTTGCTCGCTGGCCCCAACCCCCAGATTAACCCGCTATGCTGCTTCTGGCATCGCTGAGCTGCTGACCCGGCCTATGATGTTGATACAGCACTGAACTCTCCTAACGTTTGTCAGCCTAACTTACTAAGTTGAATTAACCTTGGATTCTTGTGTTTTCTATATTTGACCTATTTTTTCTTTCTTTTTTTATCTATTTTTTTTCCTCTGTTTCTGTCTCTGCCTTCTCTCTCCTCCCCCTCCCACTCCCTCCCTGTGTCCGTCGTCACACTTGTCACCTTGGACGTCACTGGGACATCCCCACTGCCACATTTATGTCTCAACAACCACCTGTCCTCTGGGACCCATTGCTTGACACCTGCAGCCACCTTGGGAGGAAGTTCTACCTCCTACACCTTGGTCTCATTGCTTTTCTCTGTGGTGACTCTTCTTTTGCTCTGTTAGGAACTTGAAAACACACACACGCACACACACACGCACACACATATGCACACACACACAAATTATAATTGCTTAAAAAGCCAAGTTCCTATGAAAAATGATCAGTTGTTCCCCTTTGAAAGATCCTGTCGGGCCTGTGGTTGCCCGGCCACAGCTACTGAGCAAGTGTTCTGTGTGAGCAAGGAAGGTCTTGGTGATTGGAATCAGATTTACCTCCTGAGATTTTGTTGTGCGGTGAAACTATTCTGTCACTTTGTATGGGGTCTTCCCCCTTCCTAAGAGCAGCAAAGAGCAAGAGAGAGAAAGAGAGAGAGAAATTGAGAGATTTGAGAGGTATTTCTTTCAGTACTATTTTTCAAAGACAGCATTAAGCAAGGTTTACGGGGAGGTTTCCGCTATCTGTTACTTGTGTTTTCTGTTGTCCATAAATACAGCAGAGGAAGAATTCTAGACTTCTAAAGCTTGCCTCAGATTGCTAAAGTCACCACATGTGCCCTTCACTCTAACACTGCGCCCTGCCCTCCACCTTTCAATAGGTAGTTAGCTTCGCCGGCGGTTAAGTATTTAAGTACTCATGTTGTACTTAGGTATTTAAGTCCCAAGTATTTAAGTACCCATGTGGTGACTCACCTGAGCGCTCTGCTGACATGTAGGCAGATTAAATCCCTATCCTGTAGCCCGTGCAATGGGAAAAGTAGAAATTGTCTATTGTCCTGGAGCTGATGAGCATTCTGGAAGGTGCTGAAATGCTGGTATTAGCCCAACATCTTCTGCTGTCTCTGTGAAAAAGGCCAAACTGTGATGTGCCCAATAGGAATGGGCTTTGGGATCTGACTCCCAATAGAGCTCATTCTTCCTCTGCACAGGAGGATGCTTCAGATGAGCACGAAACCTCCAGGGTCTGGGGTCTGTGGTCCAGCCATGACCTACATCACCACCATAAGTGCAGTATAGCAGGCAGGTTGGAAGTATCCTCTGTGAGTCAGTCACCCTGCCCACCTTCCCCCTACATGCTCCAAAGAGCACAAGGTAAGGGATTGAGGGGGCATTCACTACCCTCTCCCACAGTGTTAGTGCATTTGGGCAGTCTGCCTGTCCGCACTTCCAGAATGATCCAGCTTCCCTAATGGTCTCCACGATATTTTTAAAATTATTATGAAGAGCCAGGAAATTCCTGTCTGCTGTTGTGCAGTTCATGCAGAAGAGGAAATGGGTGTGTCACGTCGGATGCATGAGACCCAAGGCTGCATATCAAGCCCTAGTATCAGCGTGTGAACTTTGGGACGGACCTCCTAAGGAATACAAACTCCCTCCCCTCTCTCGGCACCTGCCATTCTACCTGTCTCATCTCTGAACATCTACACGGACGTTTAATTTATGTTCTCTTTGGTTCTTTACCAATTTCATTTCTGTTGTTACTTTTTAATGCTCAAAGACTAGCATTTCCCTTTGGGAATCCAAATGACCTTGAGTTGTGGTCTGCAGGCAAAGCCGACTCTGTTGCCACCTGCCAGTATCCCCCAGTGTTCAGCATAGATAGAGGCTTCACAGTGCTCAGCAGCTAAAACTGACAGTGCCTCTCGCTTAGCTCTGGACCCTTGGCATCTACCCACCAGCTCAGTGAAACAAGATGACTCTTGGGCACCGGGCAGTGCAGCAGAGAAAAGAACATGGGGCTTTGGGGCCTGATATGAAAATCATAGATCAGTTAAGGAGAGCTTTAGGGAGGGCAAGAGAGGTCCTACTTGGGTCCTCTTCTGATGGCCCTGGAGAGATGTCACATGCATTCACTCTAGGAGAGCTCGGAGTCTGCCTCTGCCTCATCACTGACCCACTCATAGGAGAGGGACAGTGTCAATATTTCTAAGGGGACTTTGGGAGATCGACGCTAAATTTCCAGAGCCCAAGCATGGTCCCATACTCTTAGCAAACACAGGGCCCAGCTGGAAAATGTTTGGGCTTATTCCAGTCCCTTTGTAATGGTATACTCTTCTGGAGACAGCTTTAGTGTGCACTAGCCCCAGACAGACACTTGGTGCCTCCATGAAGGCTAGGGCTCCTAGTCCAGCCAGGAGTCCTTAAGAGAGCAGCCCCCAGGTAGCCCCAAGGGAGTGAGCTCACCCCGCCCCCTCTGCACTGTGAATCAGTACAGACCATATACCATCTGCCATGAGGGTTCTCTTCTCATTTTTAGAATATTTATACAGCAGGTTCAGATCATGTTTTTCTACTAATAAGAATGCTAACGTTGTTGTGTAGATAATCAGCAAGACTTTATGAAGTTTACACCTTTGCATAATTAAAGGATATAACAGTTCATGTAAACTCAACAGCGTGTTTTGATTTTCTTTGATATCTGTGTCCAACATAGTGCCCCAAATAAAAGCCTCCCCCTCCACCTCGTCTGTACTTGATAACCGATTCCCAGAGGAAACATTTACAATTGGACCCCACACTTGACAAGAAAGAGAGTCCTAGTCAAAGGCATTTTCCCATGAAAATCTGTGTACCTTTCTAAGTGATCCTGAAGGGTTCCTGTTGCCTGGGAATCCTCAGCAGACAACGAGAGAGGAATGAGCCTTTGCAAAACTGGGGAGGTAGTCACTCTGAAGACGAGGTCGGGGGTAGCACGCTCAGCCAGATGGAGAGCTCTTTAGCAAGGTCTTGTGGGTATGTAACAATGATTTCTCCCTCTAACAGTACATACACACACACACACACACACACACACACACACACACACACACCCCACTTGGGGATCTTAACTATAGAGAGAAACTGACCAAAGTTTGTGTCAACAAGCTGCATTCTAGACAGAGCCAGCTCCAGGAAGGAGCAGACAGACCTATAAGAGATTTCTGAGGGACCCAGCCCTGCAGTTCAACCATTCAGGGAGCCTGACAGTTGTATTGAGACTAGGACTTCAGCACCTGGGTGCCATGGCACAATGACTCAGATCTAACTGGACACCTGGAAAATGTGAGATCCATTGAAAGGCATAGGAAAATGGACACATATGTGAGTCTCAGCCTTGGCACAAGCCAGCTGAGTGCCAAAACTGCTTTTAATGCTGAGCTCTCAAACCAGGAACCAAAGAATACAGACAGCCCCATCCAGGCACCGCTCAGGGCAGCTCTTACCTAGGAAGGTGAGGGAAAGCTGGCTTCCAAGAGGCCTTCTTTAGGTGCAAGGCTCCTAGGTGGACTTACAACAGAGGGCAAGAGGAAGATCAAGGAAAAGACAGAAGTCTCAGAGGTTTCAGGGGTTCTTGTCTTGTTTTTGTTTATTGTTTGTTTATTTTTGCTTTTTTATGACCTGTTCATAAGATGCAGGATCTAGACCTTGTCCTGTTAGTTCTCCTGGACTAAACTATGCTGTGCCATCCACAAGGGATGTGACTGTCTCCTGATTCCAGCACCCTTTCGTCTCCATTCTGGGCATTCTGGGCTAGCACTGGAGTTTGTCCTTAGGAATAGTGGAAGGACACAACCCCTAGAGAAGCACTCCAGTACCTGGGCAAGGCATCCTAGTACAGGGAGAAGACGGGCTACACAGGAATGAAGGAGAGTGGCCAGGTGTGGTGGTGGACACCTCTCCTCCCAGCTCACAGGCAGTGAGGGAAAAGGATCAGAGCCCCTGAGCAGGGAGATCCTGTCTCGAAACTCTGACATTATTAATAGGGAAATGACAACACACATGCAGTACCACTTATCCTGAGTTGCACTTCCTTCCCCTTGTCTGGAAGGACGGCACAAGATGAGATTGGCAAGCTGCTGGAACAGGCTTGGCAGCTGAGGAAGTATAGTGAACTGGCTGTGGAGGCAGCTGGGCCCACTTTGCAAGTGCTGTTCGATGTAATTCTTGCAGCCTGTTCAAGACCTGGGTGTCCTCGGTCCCTTGGGAACACAGGAAACATCAGGCAAGATCTAATGGTAGAATGTGTAGCATGAATAAAAACCCAGAGACAGGGTTCAAGCTGAAGATCAGAAAAGCAAAACAGCCAAGCCACTAGAGACGTCTTACCTCTGCCAGGGCTGGGCGACTGCAGACTGAGTCCTGAGCCTCTGTCTCCTCCTGTTTTCTATTCCCATTTAGTGCTGGGATTAAAGGCATATGATTGCCTAGGACTGGGATTAAAGGTGCAAGCCACCACCACCTGGATCTGTCTCTGCATTGATCTTATATAACCCAGGGTGGCCTTGAACTCACAGAGATCCATCTGCCTCTGTCTCCCAAATCCTGGTATTAAAGGTGTATGAAATTACTGTCTGACCTCTAGTGACGTAGTTTTATCCTCTGATCTTCAGGCAAGCTTTATTTATGAAAACATCGATAAAATATCACTATAAGAATAGAGTCGCACTTGTAGAATGAATGAATGAGAAGTGCCCGTATGTCAGTCTGAGACTGTTGTCTCCACAGTGACGTCCATATGCAGAACTCTGTTCAGGGTCTTACTTCCCACAATACTGCTATTTACGGGAGTCAGTGGGTCCCTTTCGGAAAACTGTTGTCAGTGGAGTCACACGGGGAACTCAGACAGGGTCCCTCTGTGAGAGAATCTGTAGGCCAAGGTCTTGGAGGACTGCTGATGGACACCAGGGGAGTTAGACAGAAAACCCAGCCAGAAGCAAGAGGCTGCGTAGTGTCTGGGTGTGAGAATGTGACTTGGTGAACATTTGTCCTGTGTGTGGGTATGCCTGTCTGTGAGAATGTTCAAATCTGGGTAAGTCTACAGGTTTTCCTGAAGTCTGATCCCAGCATGCCTGGCTCCCACATGGTGAGTATTCCCAGACCCTTTGCCTTACCTGTGGGTCCTGGGGAGGCTGCTGTGTCTTAGGAGTTTCATGGATCACAGAAAGAAAGGGTAAAATGAGGCCCCCGCTCCCTCATAGTTAAAGTCATTTAGACTTACTTTTCAAGAGGAGAGAATGTGTAGACTCATATGTTGGGCATCCCATTGGGCTTGACATCTCCCCAAGACCCAAGGCAGTCCTGGGAACACCATATGGGACCCTGTCTATCACTCTGTCTAAACCCACAGTTTAGACATGACATCAGGAGCCAGCAACTGCTGCCTGACTACACCAAAAAACCTTTTGCATTGGTCCAGAGACACAGCAGGGCCCTCCTAGATTCATCTACTCTAGGTGTCCTCAAACACTGCTTGTCTGGGCCCAGTCTACTTCCAGGGTTCATGAAGACCAGTTGAGCCTATGTCTTAGAGAGGAGGTTCAGGGTTGGGGACAGAAATGAAGACACAGCTCACAATCCCCTCTCTTCATCTTAATTTGTGGGAGCCCCCAAACCCTGTCTTCTGGGTGAGATGAGGTCATCATTCCCCATCTAAAAAGTGCAGAGAACGTCTTGTCTCTGCACCAGCCATAAGAAGGTACCACTGGTCACAAAGGCCTTGATTTTATGCACAGGGCCCTACTCCACCCCCGGGGACGGTTGTCCAGAGGGTTAGGGGTGCTCATAGACAAGCCTGCTAACCACCAACCATCTCTTTCCTACTTAAGCCAACGGCAGCCCCACCACAGGCCTGAGCACCGGTGCCATCGTGGGCATCCTCATTGTCATCTTCGTCCTGCTCCTGGTGGTCATGGACATTACCTGCTACTTCCTGAACAAGTGTGGCCTGCTCATGTGCATTGCTGTTAACCTGTGTGGCAAAGCTGGGCCCGGAGCCAAGGGCAAAGACATGGAGGAGGGCAAGGCTGCTTTCTCGTGAGTGCAAACCCATCGGGTCAGTGAGGTCTAGGCTCCGCCCAGCCCAGGGCCTAGCGTTGTGCTGACAGTGCCGGGGTGACCTACCCTTTAGCTTTATTGTTTCCCACATGAAAACTCTGAGTGGTTAGAGTATCAAAGCAAATCTCTCTAAGAATGGGTTTAAGGCCAGGTGGGGTTACCAGTTTGAAAGGCAGCATCTTGGGTCCACCTCGGTTCTAAAGTCTCATAAAGATTTGGAAATCCCTGAGGGAGGGCAAGAGAGGGGCTTGTCAGAATTAGCTATGATTGGAGAGGACCAGTGTTGGAAGCATGCACTTCATCTCTTGTCCATTCATTTGCCTTCAAATATTTATCTCGCAGCTACTGAAGGCAACACCCTGTATCCTGGCTGTAGGGTACCAAAAGGGGAAGAGTGAATATAGATCCCTCTCCTCTTGGAGAGACACCCTATATATTCTCTCCCTCCTGCAGCATCTGTTAGCTAGTTAGCAGGAGATTTTGGAGTTGGTGGGTGAGTGGGCCTGTTACAGCAAGCTGAGAAGGGATGGAGTGAGAAGATGGAGTTGTTGAGCCCTCCCACATGCTGGAAACTGTATATGTACAGATATCTGTGTGTGTGTGTGTATACATACACACACACACACACACACACACACACACATATATATATATACATGCACATGGACCTGTGTATCACAGTTACAATATATGTCTATACATGCATACATATGTGTGCACATGGGTTTACATTGGAGATTTATCTGCACTGTGCTAAAAACTTTACACGAATGATCTCATTTTGTTCTCACAGGTAGGTGAGTTATACACTATTACTTATCCTAATTTATGGATGAGAGAACTGAGGTATGACCTTATATATACTCTGGGCTAGGCTGGTGCAGACAGGAATCTGGCCCACTTTGCCAGCCACAGGCTGGACCCCGATGTCCCTTGCTGCAGCTTCTTTTTCTAGACATCTTCCCTCTGAAGCCACCCTGGGATCTAACCAGCAGAACTCTCTCCACAGGAAAGATGAATCCAAAGAACCCATCGTGGAGGTCCGAACAGAGGAGGAACGGACTCCAAACCATGATGGAGGGAAGCACACGGAGCCCAACGAGACCACACCGCTGACAGAGCCCGAGTATGTGGACTAGGAGGGACTGGCACCTCCTCAGTAGATACCCCAGTTCCACCTCATCACCCTATCCCAACCTTCCCTGCTTCTCACCCTTGGTTCCTGGCCAAACATGGAAATCCGTGCTCTGGAGCCCTCGGTCAGAAGACCTCTTGGCCGGACAATGTCTGAACCCACTCTCCTTGGAGAGAAGGCATTCTTGCTTCTCCTTGGGTCATAGTGGGTCCTTACCAGGCTCTTCGCATAAGCGGGGCTCCCAAGACTCCTCCAAAATTCCACAGATATTCTAAGAATTGCTTAAACTCATTGAGAAAAGGATTGACCCATTTCATTTAGGACTTCTTAAATATCTTCTATGCTAGAAAAGTTGGGAGCCTGGTAAGGTTCCATGGACCTCTTCTATTCAGAAACCTCGGAGATCTTCAGGGGCTCTGACCAGCCATGGCTATCATGCACACT